ATCTCCGAAACGTCGTTTTACGTTTTATATTTTACTAGACGATGGATAATATCCAAAAAAATTATTCAAATAAGCCATTTTAAACTGAATAAACAATTTTCTCCAAACATTTAATTATAATATAGGCCTGTAGAACATTTTCTCCATCTTCCTATAGAGGGTATGTATCTTCCTTTCTTAAATCGTTCCTCACCCCTCCGTGTTTCCCAAGAACACCCTCGAGGCATGCCAACCTACCTTTTTCATTTCTTGTGCAAAAAACTGTGTAGGCTGCCTTAACCCACTCAGATTTCATATCATATAAAATTGATTACCTCTTTTCCCTTATATTTGCAGACAGACTGTCGATGTATATAATGACGTCTTTTTTTAAATTTGCGTATGGTACCCATAGCACTAATCTCTTTTAGATCGCCCCAAATAATATTTTCTAATCCATTTTTATGTAGAAGGATTTGAGGTCCTCACGAAGATGGCTGTCTTCTGGGCAGTAGCACTGTCTAGTGCAGTGGTATTCAACCTGGGGTACGCGTACCCCCGGGGGTACGTGAAATTTAAAAAATATATATATATTATTTTATGATAAAAACTGAATAATCAGTAATGTAATTTATTTAATTTATTTTAGATGTAGATTATATACTATATATAACTTGAATTAAACACCAACAACTTTGGGGGTACAAAGTTGAAGAGAAATTATATCTGGGGGTACGCGAAGACATCTTAGGGGGTACGTGAAATTTAAAAAAATATAAATATTATTTTATGATAAAAACTGAATAATCAGTAATGTAATTTATTTAATTTATTTTAGATGTAGATTATATACTATGTATAACTTGAATTATACACCAACAACTTTGGGGGTACAAAGTTGAAGAGAAATTATATCTGGGGGTACGCGAAGACATCTTAGGGGGTACGTGAAATTTAAAAATATATTATTTTATGGCAAACACCGAATAATCAGTAATGTCATTTATTTAATTTATTTTAGATGTAGATTATATACTATGTATAACTTGAATTATACACCAACAACTTTGGGGGTACAAAGTTGAAGAGAAATTATATCTGGGGGTACGCGAAGACATCTTAGGGGGTACATGAAATTTAAAAAAAATATATTATTTTATGATAAACATTGAATAATCAGTAATGTAATTTATTTAATTTATTTTAGATGTAGATTATATACTATGTATAACTTGAATTATACACCAACAACTTTGGGGGTACAAAGTTGAAGAGAAATTATATCTGGGGGTACGCGAAGACATCTTAGGGGGTACGTGAAATTTAAAAAAAAATATTGTTTAATGATAAACACTGAATAATCAGTAATGTAATTTATTTAATTTATTTTAGATGTAGATTATATACTATGTATAACTTGAATTATACACCAACAACTTTGGGGGTACAAAGTTGAAGAGAAATTGTATTTGGGGGTACGCGATCAAAAAAGTTGAATACCACTGGTCTAGTGTGCCAGACTACACGGCCCTGCAACCCAGAGGATAGCCATCCTGCCATATTTTATACTTTGTAGAACAGTTTCTGTAAATGTGCGGTAATTAAGGAAGTGAACCTGTTTGTATGTTACAGAAACTGCAGACGATAGGAGAGGATTTCTGCGGCCTTGATGTGAACACCCCTCTGGGCGGTGAGCAGCCCATTGCCGCCGTACCAGTGCTGGTGTTCGACGCGCATCTCACCGCCGTGGCAGCCACGTCCACCGGCGACTACACTGTCGTATTCCTGGGCACAGCTACCGGCCATATGAAGAAGGTAGGTTTCTTGATCCATTGAAAGTCTCTGATGTTGATGGATGCAGTAAGCATATCTGTTCCACCTAGTGAAATCGGTCTGTCAGTATTTGACGCTTTCTTCAAAAATATTCATGGTAAAATATATTTTTCTGGCCACAATTTCTTTTGGCATGTCGTAGGTGTCAGTTGTTGTCTTCGGGGTTTGTGACGCCCTGTGGTCTTGTAGGTTATCAACAAGAGTCACACACAGCTACCGGCCATATGAAGAAGGTACGTTTCTTGATCCATTTAAATTCTCTGCTGTTGATGGATGCAGTAAGCACCTTGTGTAATCAGTCAGTATTGACGCTTTCTGGTGGCAGCGCCTTCTTCAAAAATATTCATGGTAAAATATATTTTTCTGGCCACATATTCTTTTGACATGTCGTAGGGGAGCGTATAGGTGTCAGTTGTGGTCTTGTAGGTTATAAACAAGAGTCACGACCTTGAAAATCTCAGTGGACATTTCACACTGCTGGTATATCCTAAAACCTCTGAGCGTCTGCATGTTATTTGCGAGGTCAATACAGGCACTCCGGATGTTTAATTCTATGTGCTGGAGCGGAAATATCTTAGACGACGCTGTGGGGAGTTTGTATAAATGATATAATGCTCGTTCGTGATGACTTTCTAATTTGAACTCGGTGTTTCTTCAGGTTTTGAAAGGTTTAAAACACCCCCATCGCTGAGAAGAGACGCAGAACTTCTGTTCCGAACGACTTTGGTTTCAAGGCCCCTGGGAGTATCGTTTAAAATCCAAAATGTACCCACCACCGGATGCCGTGTTGTTTTAAAGTTGTTGATGACCGGTTTAATATCGGCGCTCGATCGACTAAGTCATGTTTCTGTTAGACCCTTCGGTTTGTGGAACGGTTTGCATCTCACGTCCTAAAAGGAATCAAGGCGGTAGTTTTCTATGTGATCCTTGACAAGGCTGTGAATTTTCGTGGGGAATTAAAGCTAATTCGAATTCCGGACGGGTGGTGATTTGACTGAGGGGAACAGTGATTGACGTATCACCGAGTTCCATGCGATATTCAAGCCACGGCGGAGTGCGCTGGTTTTTGAGCGGTTTGGAAGGCAGTGGACTGTGAAATTGAAACATTCATATTCAGCCACCATGATGGCGTGACTTCTCCATTCAACTTGCCAATATTATCGTCATTGTTCAATACCTTAGGCCCGTTAGCTCGACGTTTCAGAGCATGTTTTTTTTAATCAATATCACTCCTCATCTGTTATTTTGTTTAATTGGCCACCATTTTGATTTTGCGAATAATACCAAGTGACTTAACAATTTATGCTTTTCACTTCGACCGCGTGTCTTCCGTTAGCTTCGAACTTTGCGATCGTCAGTCGAAGGAAGGCAAATCTTGTTATTTTTAATTCGTCTTTTGTCATCTCGTCGGTTATGTGGCTGAGCTCCGGTAAAAAGGAGATTATATTGAAAGAGTCTGAGGAATGCGATGTGCATGGAACGAACTCCCTGGAGTTATATCAGGAACTTGACAGTGGCAGCAGCTCTCTCCCTCTTTTCGCTTTTCATGCTGCCTTGTTACTTACGAATGTTATTGAAATTAGACGAATTCTCTGCATATGCCAGGCTAAGAAGGAAGATGCAGATGGAAGAGTTTGGTGGGGAATCTTGGCTAAAGAATTTTGAACGCCAGAGCGTGACTGGAGGAAAGTTGTATTCTGGTCCAATACGGGGCTGTGTGTGTGTGGACTTGAGCGGGAAGGAACTCTGTTCGGTTGTTTCGATTGTGTGTTACATTCGATATTGTTTTGTATAGTAAAATGAAGCTTTGCCCTTGTTGTTTGGTGAAGTCGGGGTTAGTCAGTCTGTCTAGATCAGTGGTATTCAACCTTTTATGTTCGCGTACCCCCAGATATAATTTCTCTTCAACTTTGTACCCCCCAAAGTTGTTGGTGTATAATTAAAGTTATACGTAGT